ACTCTGTTTCTGGCACCAGTTGCAGGTTCCCTCGAACTTGGCGGGGGTGCTGCCCTTGAGTTTGTCATTCTGGACTCCCTTCCTGCCGCCGTTGCCGCCCTTGTCGCCATTGCCGCCCACAACAACTTCGAATTGCAAAATGGCGCCGAAAACAAAAAAAAGCGCCGAAAACCAAAGGCGCGCCGCAAATTGCAGGTCCGCCGAAAACAAAAAGGGCGCCAACAACCAAAGAGGCACCGAAAACCAAAGGGGCGCCGAAAAACAACAATGCGCCAGAAACCAAAAGGGCGCCGAACAACCAAAGGGGCGCCGATGACCAAAACGGCGTCGAAAACTAAAGCGCACCGAAGACCAAGGCGCCGGCAATCAAAGGGGCGCCGAAAACCAACGAGCGCCGACAACCAAAAGAACGCCCAAAACCAAATGGGTGCCGAAAATCAAAAGGACACCGAAAACCAAGAAAGCGCCGAAAACCAAAGGGGCGCCGGAAGCCGAAAACCAACGGTGCGCCCAAAACTATCGGGTGCGCAGAAAGGCAAAACGGGCGCCGAAAACCAAAGGAGCGCCGAAGACCAAAGTCGCGTCGAAAACCAAAGCAGCGCCAAAAACCAAAACCAAAGGAACGCTGAAAACCAATGGGGCGCCAAAGGCCGAAGAAGCGCCGACAACCAAGGAAACACCGAACGCCACAGCGACTCTGGAAACCATAAGTACGCCGAAAACCAAAGGGGCGCCGAACACCAAATAACAAACGTAGCTTCGAAACCCTTCTTTCAGCCTGGGCCGCCATACTGGAAAAACCAACAGACGGAGGGGGGGGTAGCTTCGGACCCCCCCCCCATTTAGCCAGGGAGCCCCCAGCTACATCCATTCGAAAGAGGGGGGTGGGGTAGCTTCGGAAGCCTCCCCCCTTGAAACGAAAGGGGGGGAGCTTGGAAGCCCCCTGCCTTTTATTCAAGGGGCAATAGTCTATACACTGGTTGGATGGGCTATACCCTGGTTGGACGGGCTATACCCGGGTTGACCGAGGGACACCCCTCTGGAATGTAAGATTCCGAAGACGTTCCGCAATTGATTTCGTGTGTACGCCATCCTTAGAAAGTCTGGAATGCCAGTGGTGTGCCTTTAGGGGCCCGCATGGATTACTAGGAAAAAACAACCGAGGCTTTGGTGTTTGGGGTTCGGCGTTTGGTGTTTGGGGTTTGGGTTTGGGGCTTGGTGTTTGGGGTTTGGGGTTTGGTGTTTGGCGTTTGGGGTTTGATGTTTGGTGTGTGGGGTTTGAGGTTTGTTGCTTGGGGTTCGGTGTTTGGGGTTTCGGGTTTGTTGTTTGGGGTTTGGTGGTGTTTGGTGTTTTGGGTTTGTGTGTGTACTATACTGCAGGTTCTGCAGGCACCAACTGGGGTAATAGCCCAACACTGCTGGGGTATAGCCCGTCCAACCTGGGTATAGCCCGTCCAACCGGGGTATAGGATTCGGCCTTTGCCATGGGAGGGGGGGTAGCTTCAAGCTGGGGCCACCCTTTTAATGAGAAGTGTGCCACGGGCGCGCCCTTGCCCAGCTATGGTCCAATACGCCTCCCCCCAACACCCCCCCCCTCTTGAGGCAATAAAAAGCCCCGCAGAGGCCCCCAGGAGGCCACCAGACGCCTCTCAAAGACCTCAAAAGTCCCACAACATGTTCTGGCAGTCCCCGACATTCTTGTTTCGGTTCATTACGCTCTCATGTTTCTGGCTTCGATGGCGAGGCTTGGGGGAAGAGAACATCTTCAGTCGAGTGTCGCACTCGATCTACCAAGCGACTGCTTCTCCCCCGCGCGAGCTTCACACGACAGATTGAGGAACATACGCCACCCAACAACTTCCCAATTCCCACGAACGAGCACGCAAGCAACCACCAAGGTGATGAAATACGGGTGGCAACAAGGTAACGAGCTGCATGCGTAAGGCATGCTAATAACGGCCTTGCGCAGTCCCCAATACATCCGCGCACGGATCCTGCAGAGACGCATCAACAAAAAAACAACGAGGACATCGCGCTCCCAAGGTCACGAAAACCTCACGTCGGCACACGCCTCCCGCATTTCCTGCGCACCCCCAGGCCTCTGCGACACATACAAGCACGAGGGATTCGCACATCAATTCCCGTAGGCGCCTCGATTCGGCACACTTCTCAAGTAATTCGTACAACATGGGTGCGCAGCTGGCCCCAAAAACGGCTCCGTGGGGCCTCAATTCGGCGCACCCCTCAGTTACTTCGTGCATCATGAGTGCTCAGCTGGCCCCAGCGACGCCTTCTTGGGGCCTCACTTCGGCACAATCCTGACGCATTTCGTGCCCCTTGGACCTCCTGGGCGATCCGCTGGCCCTCAAGACGGCTGATGGAAGCCTCCGTCGGCAGTCCCCTCCAGCATGCATCATTGACTCACAAGGGCCCTCAACTGACCCCTCAGATAATTCAAAGACGCGTCGATTCGGTACAACTCTCATACACATCGTGCCCCATGGACCCCCGAAGGTCCCCTGTTGGCTTCTGAGATCGCCTGCCCCCCAAACGGACGCTAAGATGGCCCTGCGAAACGAATGGTACCAACCCACGTCGAAACCATTCGCCACACACTCACTTATCGCACAATCCGCATGCGAATTTCCCCTGGGGGCCCGCCGTGACTCCCATCCTGCGGGCTCAATTCGACTGGCCCCTGCAGGAGCGACGCGGGAGCAAGACGGCATGAGCCTTTTGTAACAGGACAGGCTTGCCAGAGTCGGGAGAGGAAGGTAAAGATGGCATGCAAATGTATGCTAGGATCGGCTCGTCCGAACATAAATTCCGCATCCCCTCACACAATTCGTGCTCCACTGACTCCCAAAGGCGCTCGGCTGGCCTTCAAACTGCTACGATTCGGCACATCCGTGACGCACAGCTTGGCTAATGGGCTTCCAGGGGCGCTTAGCTGGCCCAAATTGCCACAGCTTGGCTCACCCCTCACTCACTTCGTGTTCCATGGTTCCAGTGGCGCTCAGGACGGCTCAAGGGAGCCTCATTTCGGCACACCCCTTTGCGCACTTCAGGCATCCAGGACCCCTAAGGGCTTGAAACTTGGCCCTCAAGGCTCAAAGGCGCCCCATGTCGGCACACCCCTCACACACTTCGTGCCCTTGGACTTCTCGAAATGATCCGCTGGCCCTCAAGACAGCTCAAAAGAACATCATGTCAACAAACCCCTCACGCATTTCATGCTCCATGGACCCCAATGGCTCTCAACCGGCCACTCAAGACGGCCCAGTGGAGCCTACTTTCGGCACACCCCTCACGCACTTTGCGCCCCATGGACTCCAATACGCTATCAATGTGCTTCCCAAGACGAATCATGGGAGCCTCAACTTTGCGCACTCCTCACACGCTTCGTGCCCGATGAATCCCGGAATGCTCTCAGCGGATTCCCAAGAAGCCCCAGAAAGGTCACAAATGACCCAAGGATACGGGAGGCTCGGTCAGTTTTTTTTCGCGGGAGCGGCCCTCAGGAATTCCAGGACAAGGGAGCTTCAAGAGAGCCGAGTGCCCAGTAACTAACTGATGGGTGGCAGGCCCCGAGGTAGCCCCGAGGTGGCCCAAAATGGTCCCAGATAGCCTCTCAGAGTCCTCAGGCAACCAAGTTCATAAAACATACCGATCTGTATACATGTTCACACATATAGATATACATATATACGAATGTAATATACATATAGGTATACATGTTTAAAACAACCAAATGAAGTGTTTTAGCGTGTTCGCTTCCTCTGGGCTGTCCAAGCAACAAGATGGCTCCGTGATCGCGATGGCTCCAAGTGGGGCCTGGTCAAATTCCTACAGGGCTCCAAAGACTCCTGATAACGCCCTAGGTTAGACCTAGCAAAGCTCCAAGAGAGCTCAACAACGTTACAGGAGCTGGGATCAATGGGTGGCAAGCCTCGCGATGGCCCCGAGACAGCCCGAAGCGGACCCAAGATGGCCCCGGTGCGGTCCTGGATGATCCAAGGCAGCCCCCGAAAAGCTTTCATGGAACCAGCATCCTGGAGACATGTATGGTTTGTTTCAATGGTTTCGGCTTTCTTGCTTTTTTTCGTCCCATGGGCTTTTCAATCCACGAGATGGCTCCAACATCGGCCGATGTGTTTCCAGATTGGGGCTGGAAGGGCACGAAAAGGACTCCGAAGGCTCACAATAGCGCCTCGGCATAGCCCCCAAGCAGCTTCCACAGCGCTCCTGTGTGGCATAAGTCTGGGGATCCAGAGGTGGCAAGACTCAAGACCCAAGACAACCCCAATGTGACCCAGGAGGGTCTAAGGCAGCCTTCAGGAGGCCCTCAGGAGGCTCAAATCCTTCAAGTCTAAACGGTTTCACTGACTGTCGATGGTTTTCATTTCTGTTTCATGTGGGCGTCTGAGGCCTCAAGATGGCTCCAACATCGCCCAGTATAGCTCCAAGCCGAGCCCAGAACAGCTGGAAGAGAGAGAGAGAGAGAGAGAGAGAGCCCCAACAGAGCTCCGACAAGGCGCCAAGCAAGCCACAGACACGCACAACATCGAAAAGCATTGGGTATCACAGTTCAAGGTGGCCCAGCAACCCCAACGTGGCAACACATGGCCCACCGCAAAACCTTAAGCGCCCCAACAAATCCCCAAAGCCCACGAGATACCCCAACCGAGCCATGGGTTTCATCCCAGAGATTTCGACGAATCCCCCAGGAACTTCTCTTGCCCATGCGTGTGTATCCCATGCCTTGGTGGGAATGAAGGCTCCGTACCGCGTGCAACCGCATGGCCCTCTCGCCGAACACGCTTACCAACACACCCAAATGCAACTTGTGACGCAACATTGGCCGGCGGAGCGATCGACAGCCGTATAAACAACCTCAGACCATCTGGCTGTTAACCATTATACGTAGCTGGCACATCCTGTACATGCGGAGCTTTGCAGCAACGCAGAGAATGGCGGGCCGATCAGCAGAGGAATCGCGCCTCTGCAGCCGAAATTATATCGCGAAGTATCTCGTGGCTGCCGCCTGGCCTGTCTGGATGGTGAAGGCGAACGAGCTGGCGCGCGTTTGAATGTAAACCACTTCGGCGCTCACTGTGCTCCATTGTGCAACAAGCATCTAACACACAACAGCAATTCAGACAGAGTTGACATTCAAGACACGTATTGAATCAATGTTCGTATTGAATCAATGTTCCTTTCTCACCCCCAGAAACAAAACCATCTCCTCATTCCCGCAACTCTGCGAATACCAATGCGCAACATGGGTGTCGTGGTACACAGAACCAACTCCTGATTCCCGCAACTCTGCGAATGCCAATGCGCAACATGGGTGTCGTGGTACACATATGGGGACTTGGGGATCATATGATTCACCTTTCAAGAAGACCACGACACGATCGGCAGGAATGCATCGTCCGTTCGAGCACGCTCGAATGTTCCATGCACCCTTCCTTGGGGCTAGCGCCCTGTGACGCCCACAATGCGAATACAGTAGCAGAAGGCACAAGCGATTAATTTCATCATACTGGCAGGGGCGCTTCACCACTGCGAGCAGGATCGGGCCAATCGATAAGCGTTAAGCGCCTGGTAGGCCCAGTTGGGCCGGCGATGTGAAGCGCCCCCAGTGACAGTGCAAAGAACATGCTGATGCAATGACGACTTGCCTAGTGAATGCGTCCGTACGCCCGACCTGTCGTCTGAGCAGTCGATGAAGAACCGCAAACGATCTACTGCCTGCCCAGAAATTGCCCCTCCCTCATTTTCCGTACCCAGTTTGGACCTTCGGGACGGCCGGGGGCCGCCCCAGTGGATGATCTTCTAAAACGGGCGCAATAGTTGAAATGTCCTGAATCGCCAGCTTTGGAACATCGCAAGGGGGTCTGAAGCCAATGATCAAACACGTAAGAATAGAAAATACGCAGGATCCCATCCCTAGACGTGTCGCATGGAATTCAAACCTCTGTGGACCTCGTGAAACTGCCCTGATGTGGTGTAATCGCCTTGCGGCTTCTTTGGGCTTCTTGACACTGCGTTGATCCGTGAGACAATTCGTCGCCACGCTGTGGACCTGAACACGCCTGGAATGTAATGACACGTTGCGTCGCTGTGACAATGCGCATACAATCGACGACTGTATCAAATACAACAACACATTTGAATGTGTGTGTCATGGCGACAACTGACTACGGAATCATACGCAATCAAGACATATGAAGCAAACGATACCGCCTCACGGAACCTGGACCTCACCTGGTCTTGTGTAGACGTTGGAGGAATATCGAATATAGACCACGGGTCCTGCATGCGCAACATCATTGTTTGCATGCAGCTGGGATCGATCGCGCGCACTTGAACACCGCAATGCGCAATGCGTTTGACGCTGCTGGTAACGCAGACGAGTTACACCAGCCCTCTGGGCCCTCTGGGAATTCGCCGGCCCAACGGGCCAGAGGCGTGCTAAGATCTCCGGTAACTGGTAAACAATATTTGTGGTTCGCGCGCGCGGGGCGGCCCCTGGGGGTCCCTGGATCAAAAATACCCCGGGAGGAGCCCGGGACACGCCCGGGACACTCCCCCAGATCCTCCAGGATCGCCCCAAGAGGGCCCCAAGAGGCCCCCAACACAATCCAAGAGAGGTCCGAGACGCCCGAAGATCGCTCCACGGCGCCCAAGATGGCCTCCAGACGGCCCAAGAGGTCTCCAAGATGACCCAACAAGCCTCCAAGATGCCCCAGGGGGGCCTCTCTACGCTTCCCGCGCCATCGTCTGTGAGGACGGGCGGTAGCGGCGGCGCTCTTTCGAGGGCAAGCGGAGTTCCTCCAACATCCGCGCCGCATCTCGGAAATAAATCCTCACCGTGGTGTGGTGCGTCCGCCTCGCACGGAGGCAAGTCGTTGCAAGGCTGCCCAGGCGCAGGCTCTAGGGCTTGCGCTTGCGATGATCAGTCGCGGTCTCCTGGACCAGCACGTGGACCTCTATCTTAAAATCCGCCGCGCCGCGTGGAGAAACCTGATGCCCCGGTGGTCGCCTAGACATCGCTTGGTCGAGATGTCAGTCGCCCTCGGGCTAATGTATGATTCGATGTTCGAACGTTCCAGGACGCTCGCCTATGTTCGTGGACCCCAAGCTGGCGTGACACGTAGCGGCCTGCAGGTCACGGGGATCGACCACCAGTGCCCAGTGCGTTTCGGGGGACTGGCAGTGAAGGTCTGCAAGATACTGACCATCCTCCCTGCCATCACCATGTTCCCTGGGTCGCGTGGCAGGCCATGCACTGGAGGTTCGGACACGCCAGAATAAGCTGACACGATAAGGTCGGGCGCGAGAGAACTGGCCGTACAGGTCGCCTCAAACAGACTCCAAGAGACCCCCTTTCAGCAATACGTTGTCAAATTCGCGGGAACTTTTACTGTGGCCACCTGGTTGCTTCGCACCTGCATGCTGCCACGGAAACTAGCATTGGCCAACACTGGAGGCCTTCGCGTGCAAAGGAAGGTACGAAAAGGGAACGTAGAGGTGATAGGGCAGCTGCCCCACCTCTTTGCGTCACTGCGGTCTCCTTTAACTCCCTGGACAATGCTACTCGCCTGGCGATCGTTCCTGGATGTCGTGGTGGGAATACACGACTCGCCAGGAAACATAGGCATGCTCAGCATGCGCGAAGGAACGTCCATTAGATACCCACAGATCTTGCAATACCTGCGCACTGTCGCAACAACATTCATGTATACACACCTGCGTATACACATTCGCATATGTGTACAACCACACACACACACGGTACATTTCATCGCCAGAGCCCCACCTCGGGCAAATGATGCCTTACACTGTCCAGAGAACGTGTCCGTATCCGTGACAGGAACATTCGACTGCTTGCAAAACCGAGTTCTGTTGAGAGGCGACGGACTTCGATGCCAAATGTGCAGTGATCAAGGGCGCTCCTGCTCTTTGCCATGCTGTTACGCAACATATGTGGGAACCTTCCATCATAATACTACCGGCGCTTACCCAACAACTTCCCCATTTCGTCTTATCATGCAAGGCGCATGGCAGGCATTGCAGTCACATGAACCGATCTCCCAGACCACATGCCTCAAACAACCTGTCACTCTCACTGTACTTCATATCCTTCTCCTTTTGGGCCTGGTGCTTGGCGTAGGCAGTAGTCCTACATGCACCAGGCTGGACATTATGTTTCGACAGTAAGGTATGCGCAAATCAAGAGTCCAAGCGAGGGCCTGCCCCCAAGTGCAACCACATCTGACGTTCGGATTCGACGGCCACCGTGAAGTTGCACCTGCACTGCAAGTGAATCGTGGCGGTGGGCACTGTGTCGTGTATGACGTGCGCAACAAGCAGTGTGCGAATCCCACCAGCCCTCTGGGCGTGAGTTGTTTAGGGGAATTCCTCTTCCACCCTCCCTTTCCTCCCGTCGGGGAGGGCTTTACCACTGCTCTCTATCAAAAATCACCCCCTCCCACACCCGACCGGCAGCCAGCTCAGACCCGTGAGCGCCCCCCCCCCCCCCACACTAGCCCGGTCAAACAACATTGCAGAATACACTTTGCCTCCAATTCTGGAGCATGCGCGGGCACCCCGCGATAACTTTGCATATGTTTTTGACGAGGACGGCGGGGGTGTTGGCATCTTACCTGCTTTGTGGCATGCCATCGCCCCTCCATCCCTGTTCCCCCAAAATGTAAAATACACTTTCCGACAACATCTTGGGTCATGCTCGGAGGCCCCGCGAGCACTTTGTATTTTTTTGCCACGGGCAACGGGGGTGCCAACATATGGCCCGCTGTGTGTAGGGCCAACATCCCGGCCAAACAAATAATAGAAACTGCACTTCGCGGCGAAATCTGGAACATGCGCGGGCCCCCCGCGATCATGTTGCATTGGTTCTTGACGGGGACGGCGGGGGTGCTGGCACGTTGCCTGCTGTGTGCAGGCCCACCGGACATCATGATGACCACTGCGCCGGAATTGTCCATTTCTAGTCGACAAGCACGGTGGAGGCCGACATGTTTCTCGATGTGCGCGGGCGCACCTGGCACACTCTGCGCTTGCACCGACTGTGGCGCACCTGACGCGGCTGGAGCATGCGGCACACTTGGCGCACGCGGAGCACGTGGTACATCTGGCACACCAGGCGTGCCTGGCACGCCTGGGCTTCAGGGGCGCCTGGCACGCGTGGCGCACCTTGCCTCAATGTCGCGCACCTGGGGTCCGTATTGGGTCCCAGTAGCTGTCCATCCAAGACGACCGCTGAATCTGTTGAGACTCGGGTACTGCTTATGTGCTGGGAGGGCGGGTGGGAGTGAGTCAAACAGTTTGCGTCTGGGAGGGGTGTCCCCCTCCCGTGGACCTGGATGGGGGGGGACGAGCGGCTAGAGCGTCTCAGGTGATCCAAGATGGCTCCACGAGGGCCTCAGAGAACAGAAGATGACCTCCAGGATGGCTCGAAATGGTTTCCAACATGCTCCCACGAGAGGCCCCGAGACCGGCTTAAAGTGGCCACGGGGCCTTCCAAGGAAGCCACCAATAGACCAGCATCCTTCAAACACCAAAAGGAAATCAAGATGTTTTGCCTTCTCGGCTTTTCGTGTTCGACGGCCCTTCGAGGCCTCAAGCTGGCACCAAGAAGGCCCAAGAAAGCCCCACTATGAGCCCAACAGGGTCCCAAGACGTCCCCCTGAGCGCCCAAGAGCGCTCCAAGAGGGCTGCAAGAAGCGATGTTACGAGCTGCAGAGGGGAGCCAAGTACCCCCCTTCTTTGATCGAACTCCCCCAATATGGCCCCATTCTGGCCCCCAAGGCTGCTAAGAGCGCCCCAAGAGGGCCCGAAGAGGCGCCCAGGAGGCCCCAACAGACCCCCCAAGAGGTCCCCTTGGGACCTCAAAGAGGCCCCCAAGACGCCTCAAGGGCGCAGAATGATCCAAAAAACTTTCAAGAGACATCCGAAGAAACTCCGAGAGGCAACCAAGAGGCCTCTGGCCTTTCTGCTCGCCGTCCTATTCCTCCTCCTATCCATCATCCGCCTCTACCTCCTCCTCCCTCCTCCCTCCTCCCTCCTCCCCCTCCCCTTCTCCCTCATACGATTCCTCCTCCAATCTCCCCGTCTCGGGGCATGACGGCTGCCCCAGCAATTCATTACACTGCCCCAGCAATTCATTACACTGCATGCTTGTCCACATCCCTGATCAGGGCAATTCCCCCGGGCATGGTTTCTGGATGGGCTGATGGGGGTACTTTTTTGTTGCCAGCCGCAGGCGAGCGCGCCGACGGCGAGTCAGGGTCCGAGCGGGCCGCGCGAGGGCCTAATTAACCAAGCAGACGCAGGCCGAACACCGCCACTCAGAACGGGACCAGGAAGTAGCCGAAGTGGGGGCGGGGCGTTGGAGAGGCTGTCAGGGTGGCCTGAGCCAGGTGAGCCAAAACCACCAAGAGGACAACTCGAGTGCGCGTGAATTGGCCAGCCGAAGATGAAGCGCAGCCAAGATGGCGCGGAGTAGCACCACGGTGCGACCAGGGTGAGGCAACTCGGCGCATGGCCCAAGATGCCCGCCACGGTCTGGCGGGCGCAGGTGGTGACGCCAGCAAAGTCGCGCACCAAAGCCCCGTGGGGAGAGGGGGCGCAGTCCGCAGTCGTCCGACCAGGGATGGCGACTGACGCGAACAGAACACAGGCTGGCGGTGAGAGAGCGACCCCAGACGCACCGGGGCCGTCGGCCAGCCAGGGCGAGTCGACCCCCGTACGTGCCAACGCCTGGGCGGCGCGACCAGTGGCGCGCACCGCGGAGGCGTTCACGGGGCGGCGAGAGGGCGGACGCCAGCGCCGCAGTCAGAGCCGCGGGCGCAGCGTGGTGGGGCCACGGAGAGATGCACAGGCTGAACCACGAGCACCCGAGGTCACCTACCCCCGGGGGGAGCATAACCACGATTTGAACGGAATAAAGGAACCGGGGCTGGTGGGGAGATTCGCCGCACAGCCGGCGGCGCGGGGGGCGGGGGGCCAGCCGCGGGGGGGGGGCGCCCCAGCACGGGGTGGCACCCGGGGGCGCGGGGAGGACGCGCCGAGGGCGAAAACAATTACAGCGGGCCAGAGGCCGATGGGGGCAAGTGGGCCACAGCCCCAGCGGCAGTCCACGAGCCAGTATTGTCAGCAGGCCGCTGCCCGAATCCCAAGGGCGGGGAGCAGCGGGGGCTGGGCAGAGAGTGGCACCAGGGAGTAGCAGCACTTTCTGCAAGTCCCGCAACGACCGCCGCGCCCATGCGCGGCGAGCTGCGTCTAGTGTGAAACTTGGCGGGGGCCTGCGGCGAGGGCCCCCGCGCTGGGCAATCGCTTGCCAGTGATGCCGGCAGTCAAATACCAGGGTGGCTATAACGGCCCCTACTGCCGACTGATAACACGCTCTGAGAGAGGGCCGTGTTGCCTCACCAGATGGGGTCGTCGATCCGCACCCTTCGGGCCAACCGGGCCCCGGCGTTGCTTGCGAGGTCTGCTGGTCACAAGGGGTGCCCCTCAGGGCGTCGGAACTATGGCGTCGGGACACGAGGGTGCCTTGCACGCCTGCGCGCGAAAGGGGGGGCGCAAACGGGGGGGAGGGATCGGTCGCCATGGAGCGCTGTCGCACCGACCGACGAGAACGCCCCACCACCCCCTTCTGGCCTAACGGGCTCTGCTTCTGTTTTGAAGACTGATGAGACCGAAGCCCTTCTGGCCTAACGGGCCCTGCTTCTCCTTGTGAGTCCGATGAGGCGACGCCGCGTTCCCTCCTGGCCCAACGGGCCCTGCTTCAATTGGAATGCCCCCTGGCCCCCAGGGGCGCCCGGGAGGGCATCGGGGCTCGGACGTCGGAGGGCGCGCACGCCTGGGCCGTCTGCGGGGGGGGGGGGGGGGGGGGCAGAACCCTGAAGAGACCTGTCGCCACAGAATGCTGCCGTGCCGCTCGATGAGACCGTCACTCCGTCCTCCTCTGGCCAAACGGGCCCTGCTCCTCTCGGCGAGGTCTGCCGGCTGCCAGGGGCGCTGGGGCGTCAGGGCTCGGGCGTCGGAAGGTGCGCTGCCTCGCTCGAGGCGCGGCGCCCCCGGCTCTGCGGCCCGCTGCGGCCCCCTGCAAGTCGGCGCCCCGGGGCAGGGGAGGGGCTGGAGGTTGCGCTGCCTGCGGCCATAGCGGCAGACGCATAATGCATGGCGGGTTGCGTCCAGCGCGAAACGTGAGTCGGCGCAACTGCGAGGGGGGGGCGCGCGGGGAGGGGCCAGCCAGGGCGCTGCGGTGGGCCTGGAGCTGCCGGAGGCCTCCGTGTCAACGCCACGTGCGGGGGCGCTTGTCCCCCATCCCGTCGCCGCTGTAGTTGCCGCCTCGTTTGCCCCCGGCCTGCCAGTCGTCGCCGCCCCAGGCTTGCGACCAGGACCAGGTGTCCCAGTCCCAGGGCTGCCGGGAGCTTGTCGCGTGACCTTTTGGGCTGGAGGGCGCCTTTGCCATGGCCCCCTGACCATTTGTTGCGCTCGGGGCCCCGGTTGACCTGGAGGTCGCGCCAGCGGTCCATTTCGTAGGCGTCGTACTCGCAGCGCTTCCAGGCGTCTAGGAAGTCGCGGCAGGTGGCTTCGGGGTTCCGAGCGGGGTCACTCTCCGGGCCGTTGGGCCCGGCGGGGTGCTTGCGGGCGTAGGCGTGCCAGACGCTGCTGAACACTCTGAAGACGCGAGATCTTGGCTGCAGGTGCCTCGCCGACCCTGTCGAGCTCGACGTTGCCCATCAGCCCCTTGCACGTGCGGCCGCCGTCAACTGGGTCGACCAGGCTGTCGAAGACCCGTCTTACGGCCCAGTCGCGCCGCCGCGGGGGAGTTGCGTCGCGCTTTGCTGGTGCTGCTGCTGACGAGCTGCTGCTCCCCGGCGCGCCAGCTGGGGGGGGGGTGCCTGCGCGGGGGGTCGTGTCCCACCCTGGGCGGTGGACCGGCGCTGGCCTTGCCTGCTGCTCGACCTTGCTCAGTCAGGCCGGCCCGAGCCGCCCGCGCCCAGCCCAAACGCCCCCAAGGGGTCGTCGGGAGGGCTTCCGCTGGTTGTCTCGCCTGCTGTCTCGGGCGAGGGTGGGAGCGAACTGCCCTCGGGGTTGGCAGGGTCGTCTGCTATTCCGCCTGGGGGCAGCGAGGCTGTCGGTGGGGCGTCGTCACCACCGTCCTCGTCGTAGTCGATCCCATCGATGTCCGCCTTCGCGGAGGGCGCTGGGCTCGTTGGGGAGCAGGCTGCTTCCTCCTTGGGGGAGGCCTCTGTCGCCTCGCGTTCTGACGTCTGG